ATATGTAAAATATGTACATTTTTTTTTCAATTAGTTTTCTTATTCTGAAATGGTAATAATCAAATAAATTCAGTGGCCTCAAACACAAACCGCCTAACTCGAGTTAAGACAAAAATGAGATATGTTTACCAGCGAATTCTCCGTTTTGAGTTTCATATGCTCACAAATTTTGGTGGTTCTACGACTATTGCAGCCGGAGTTATTGTCGGATTCACACATGACCTAACTCGAAATGGCAACCATATGCACTTGCACTAATCGCCTAAATCGAGTTAAGAGCAGAAAACATCTTTTTTATGTTTTGGACAAACCACTTATTTCGAGATAGGCTATTGTTGCAAATCGAAATTAGTGACATTTTTTTTTATTTGTATGAATTTTTACAACCGCTTATCTCGAGTTAGGCTTTTGTTGCAAAATTAATTTTGAGTTTTTTTAAATACTAACTCGACATAAGCGATTTGTGTAAAATAAAAATTGGTAGTTTTTTAAACTCATCTCGAGTTAGGCGATTATTGCAAATACAATTATATTCCAAAAGGCTTCTTATGTCGAGTTAGGTTTTTATAACGCGTGCAAATAAGAACAATACATCGAAGTTAAGCGTTTAGTGTTCGAAATAATACATGATCAGTATAGAATATTTTTTAGTTGTTTATAATAAAAAATATTTTATAACGCTTAACATATTATTTTATGTGATATTATAGTGTAGGTACTTTATGTCCATGGTTTAAAACTTATTCACTATACATAGTTAAAATTAAATCTTACATTCAGCGACAAGAAAATAATTGTATTTTTTAACACAAAATATAAAACATCTGCAGAAGTTACCTGCATTATTAGTGCTCTAATTACCCAAATATCCCATGTTTAAGATTTGAATTTTTTTATTTTACAAATAATATCGTAGGTCATTTCGTGATTTACCTGCGACAAATGTTTTTTTCAATTGACGGAGTTCCCATGTTAAGATGACACGTGGCTAGCTACCTGTTGGTAGATTGTTTTGCCTTTGTGGTCTAATTGTATTATTAAACAAAGTGTTGTTTTATTATGCCCTTGTAAAACACATGTTATTAGGAAGAACAAATTTTTGTGTTTAACAAGAGTTTTCATTCTAATTATTGTATTACAAAGCAACACTCTTATTATACACTAGTAAAAGACATTTTGTTAGGATATTCATATAATTTGCAAGGGTTTTCAATAAATAAAATTGGTACGTCTGGGAATAACAATATTTTGTTATACTTTTTATTACTCATTTCCGTAAGATTAAATTTCTTCGATTTTCAAATATTTATTATATTTTTGTTATTTCGAAGGAAATATTTTTTACAAAGACAGTTTTTTATTATTGTTTTTAAATGTGCTGATGTTGGAAATTGTTAAATAATGCAAAAATTATCCAATATAAACTTTATTCACGCTTAATAAATGTACGTTAAAAATTTTGGAACTTGCTAGGAGAGCTGAGATGATTTTGGCGGATGTTAGAGGTATTGCAATATATTTGAAACTAACATAACGGATTCAAAGTGTTTTAAAGCATAGAAATAAGCGAAACTGGTCCTATAGTAAATAAACAAGTATTTACATAACAGATCTTACTTTGAAAACCGAAGTTAATACAGTTTTGAAAACCGCAATTGACTTTGGTCGTGGTGACTGTATTAATGATCCTGATTTTAAAATTGACAACATTCAAAAGCAAGTTTTCGGGTCCTATTGGGCATGTGAACATATCTGTAGAGATGAAAAAATTTGAAAGGCTTTCTACTTTTATTGTTTTAAGAAAAATCCTTTTACAATTTGCCGAACGGTTAGAAAAAATCGCTTAATTTTTCGCGGCCGGGCTTCCTAAATGCATTCAAGTACATGAACGCTCGAAACTGACTCGTGGTCCATTTGTATGGAGTCTTAATTGAAAAGTAAATGCTGACAGCTAAAATAAAAATGTCGAGCAAACTTACAATATTCTTTGTTTATTTGATAATCAAATACTTATATACTCTATAATAGGAGAGCAAATTCCGAACCAATTTACTTTGCCACAACTTTTTACGGAGATCTATATACTTTTTACGGCAGAACTTAGAGAAAAACTGATGAATAAACCATTTTCTATATGTAATTAATAATACGTCTCCAAGATTTAATTGTCACAAGTATCGAATTATTATTTTCTATACGAGTTCGAGTTCACTATCAAATTTGACTTTTCATTACAGTAGTTGTAATGACTCACACTCGATTTCATTTTGTTTTTGATTTAAAAATTTTAATTAATTCGCATTTAGTATCATTATGAACAAGTAAGAAAGTCATATGGACTATAGTACATAAATAAAATAACAAACACAAAACTCATAAACTCATTTTAGATATTACTTTATGTGCTCATTTTTACAATAATGTAACAACTTTGTCAGATCCGTTGCACAATGAAGCCTTTTTGTAATTGAATTACCTTTTGAAATTTTCTTAAGTGGAAAGAGTCGCACCACAGATTTCAAAAAATTGACTTCCAAAAATATTTTATAAGAACAGTTTATACAAAGATTTTTTATATTTTAAGACGAGGTGTTAACTAGTTAGATTTTCAAGATATACTCCGAATTGAAGAAGAAGAGAAAATTAGTCCCAAAAAAGAAAAACTTAGAGTACTTGATGCAATTTTTTAATCTTTTGGTTTACAAATTTTACAAAACGATAAAGACTGGAGATTTAGCAGATACTCATCCATATTTAGTTGGAGAATCCGAGAGAGAATAAAAGATACTGTCACCTTTCTTAAATTTAATGAAAAAATTATTTTTAAACTTTTAGAAAAAATTTTTATTTGAAGTTTATTCATTTTTTACCTCAATTTATGTTTTTTATGACAATGATTTGGAAAAAGAGTGAAAAATCAAATAACGTAAAAATAATACATATATTTCTTCCCTTTTCAATATAACTTAAGTCACCTAAAACCATATTTTCAGTTTTGCAACAACAGCTTAAGTCGACTTAAGTTTGACGAAAATGCAAAAGTAATTTTTCACAAATCGCCTAAGTCGAGTTATGCTTTGCAAAGTGCTTTTTATAAATTTTGTATAACCGCCTATCTCACTTTTTTCATAATTATGAGAATACTATTAGTTGTTTTACTTCAGATTATGAGTTAATCGCTTCCTTTTTTAATTATCTTTCGATCAAAAAAAAAATTGGCTCAAAAAACTTCATAACTTTTTTCAAAATTAAATTTAAAGTTTAAAATGCATTTATCTCGAAATCACTAAAACAGACTTAAGTCATTTGTGCTTGAAGCCACTGAATTGCAGTACATTGTATGTTTGCATTTGTTTTCATGGATAAATATAAGAACACAAGCATAATTATGTCTGCAATTGCAATATTTTATATATGAATATTGTCTGTAAAGGGTGCGCTATTGAAATTTTATTTATTGGACTGAAAAAAAACTATTTATAGTTAATTAAAATTTGATTTAAGTGAATTAATATTAATTAATATAGATTATATTTAATGCAAGATTAAAGCATGAAATCGAGCATAATCTTAAGATTTGCCAATTTAAAATCAAAAATATTAAAGTAAATTTGATTGTCTATTGAAAAGTACAATCAGCACAAATCTAGATCCAAAAAAATCTTGTATTTATTGAATATGGAATTGCAATTTCAAAATCAGATTAATTATGACAAAAAAAGGATTATAAATATGGACCAAATGAAGGACTAATTTTAAAATGAATAATTAAATAAATAAGCAAATAATATTTCTAAAGTAATATCAAAGGTGGAGTTTCCTTTAATATTATCCCTAAAATAACCTCATAAAATAACAAGCCTTTACCCCACCTTAATTTATACAATGAAAAAAAAATATCACGTCCTTCAGTTTTTTTCATTGTCCTTCTCTAATTGCAAGTCGAAAATGATATTAAACTTCAATTTAACTTTAATTTTAAAAAAATGTAAGGTATACATACATAAATATATAAAATAAGTAAATAAAATACAAATAGACACACCTCTTATTAGCTTAGAGTCGCGAATAGCCACAAGAATACAAAAACAAAACAAAAAAGTATTTAAAACAGTTGGATGAAACTAATTCGTTTGAATATAAGCTTATACCCGAGTTGTAATGCAATTAAAAATATTTTACATATTCTATTTCAATAAACTTTTCAAGGTAATTTTTCTTAGCGAATATAAATTGAAAAATTAATTTTTCAATTTATTTCATTTTTTAATATAATTTTTATACATATATATATATATATATATATATGTAAAATAAATTAAAGCTGAATAATTTTACATAATATTCATTAAAATTACATTATAATTATCATGTTAGACATAATAAAATGTCAAACTGAATTAAAAATTTTCATACATAAATACAGAAAAATCGCTACTGCAATATTTAAATTTAAACTGCGTATTTCAAAATTGCGTGTTTGTATGAAGAAATGTTTGTATTGTATGAAGAGATTATGTTTGAACATGTATAACACAAAATAGTTCTGTACTTGTGCTTTTTCAGGATTGCTAATTACTACCCAGAATTCTGTTCAGCATCAAATTTACTTTTTTTAAATTTTCATTCTTATTTTCTGATACTTCCCAGAGTGAAGTATATTTATGTCCGAGAGAACGGAAACTCCCGACATTTGATCGTCCAGATTTGAGGTTATTGGCGGGTGTATTCACTGGATAGGCGTAGGCCTAGGTCTGTCGCCATATATAATTTGTTTGAATCTCTTTATGTGAAATAATGTTTTATTTAATTATTTGTGAGATTATCAAATTTTTTAAAAGTTTTCACAAATTCGAAGAAATTTATAATTTATATTAAACTTATTAAATATACTAATTACATATTATAAAGAATTTAAATTGATTTTTAATTAAGATGTTTGCCCGTTATCATTCAATAATATTTAATTTCACTTTTCTTTTTTTATTACATTATTACAGAATTTGGATAATTGGAAATCATCAAGAAGAAAACGCGTTGAACATATTATCGATAGAGTTGTTGAAGTTAAAAAACTTGAATTAGAAGAACATGATCGTTCTAGAAGAAAATCAAAAACATTTTCAGAAATGTTGGAAGAAAGGTAATTAATAAATTCATTAATATTTTGTATGAAAGAAATTATAATTAGGTCAATTAACTTCAATAGTAATGAAAACCAGAAATTTCAAATTAGTTATCTTCAATTAAGGAGAAAACTTGGCACTGATAAGATAAAAATTGTGTTTTCATTTTAATTTGTATGCCATAATGTGTTTTCAATAATGATATCTTTTTAATTGATTTTTTCATCATTTGAACTAATTAAAATTATTGGAATATAGAGATAGCAAAAAGTAAAAACTGATATAATTTTACAAGTAATTTTAAAATATTTTATCAAAATTTAAAAACATAAATCTTGATAATAAAATGTTAGAAATTGAACTTGTTTGACTTTAACTTCTACGGTTATGTGCAGGAAATTTGATAACGCTATTATAGTGTTATTACTTTACAGATTCTTCATTATGAGTAGATCAGTCAAACTAACAATGCACATATATTATAAATTTACAACTCATTCAGCTACTAACACTCATCTAACAGAAATTAGATTAGTTAATAGGAACATTGGGAAAATTATACTATTGAGGTGTTTTTCCGATGTCCCTGCCCATATATTACATAAAAAATTTATAATTGTTATACTCATATGCTATGGTCAACGAAAAAATTATTCATCTTTATATCAAATTAAAAATTAAATAAAAATTATTTTGATATTGTTATGATTATTGAACATATTTTTTTAGTTTGTAATAAGCACAATGATTTCAAATTTACATAACATATATTTTTAAAGTATATTACTTTGTTAAAGCTACCAAATAATAACATAAATTTAATACTCATAACAATTATTGTCTACACAAATAATACATATATGAAAAGTTAAAGTAAGTCAATCGTCCAAGGAATAGCAATAATAATAACAATATGTTAAATGAAAGCAAGCAAAAAAACGTGACATAAGGTTATGGTATCCATTGCGTGGGTGTTAAACTTACTTAACCATTTTGCTTTTTATAAAATATCCAAAATAAAATATTAACAACACATAAGTAATGCTTTCAATAACTAAATTATACGTACCTAGTACGAACTTTTATATACATAATATTATGCACATAAATATACATATGTATGTATATAAGAATAGTTATCTGCATATTATACCATTTTTAAAAACATAAATGAAAAATATAAATGCATTCATTCGTATACCATTAAAATAAATTTACTTTCATTTTCAATATCCTATATATAAGATATAGGCATATAGACCATTGAAAGAAAATGAAAGCGCATAGTAAATTGCATAATAAGAAAACATATTTTAAAAGTGCACTATTATTAAGTAGGCTTGCATTAAATTTTAGTATAGAAGAAATATAATAATATGTTCTCATATAAAAAATACGCGATGGACTATGATTAGGAGTTGTAAAAAATTTTAGACCGTAAGTATATGACCATTTACTCGTGTATATCAGATGTGATTTTAGCCATGTGCAAATATTGCTTGGAAAACATTTTAAAAACGCAAAAACCAATTAAATACTGTTAAAGCTCCCAGTTTTTTCCAAAGGATTTCATTATTATTGTTTCCATATAGGTAACAAAATTTCTTAATTTAGCATCAAATTAAGTAAATTAGTAGTAAAAGCAAATATTTATGGAGAGATTCTAATTCCAACCCCCTAAAATTATACTCAGTTCTTCATAACAGCAAGTCTAAAATTAAAATGTCGCCCCGATCCGAATCAAAACAAACTTGATTATCTTTATTATCTTACCCAGGAGTCCCTTTTCCGTTAAAATATGGACCACAATGCTTAAATATATCGTACCCAACATCATTTCAGTGGAGCCACCTTTCTCTGTTTATCTGTCTCCAAATGCTTTCCCATTTTCATTTCTTGATCATTATACCTTTAGTTTTTTACAATTTAAGAACCGTCTGACGGTCAATTTCTGCCACATGGTCCGCCGTCCAATACGCATCCAATATATTTATGAATGTGTAAAAATTTTTTTTAAAGCCGGCTTCTTACTCTTTTGATTTCAAGGAATCTAAAATAAATTTTTAAATTAAGAATATTCTTTTAAAACTCATTTCTAAATTAATTCTGCAAAGCAATTATTTTTATTGAACTTACTTCACCTTTATTTAAAATTTATTTTTACATTTTATAATTAAAAATTTTATTTTTATTTTCAGAACTACTAAAGGTCGAACAAACAAATTGGCATCATTGGCTGTATATACCGAAGATGAATCAAATGATTTAAGCGATTTAGGAATTGGAACAAGTAGTACGAGTGGTAAAAGCAGTCTATCAGAGGATTACGATAATAATAGCGTTCTGGTAATTATTAAAAATTTAAGAAATTAATTCTAAACTGTTATTAGAACATTAGTTTGTGCTTCAATAAAATATACGCCAGAAGAGGTGCTGGCGAACAATCTCCTTATTGACAATTCAAATATTTTTATTATATTTGCTTGTTTTCTTTATTGTACTTACTAACGTTTCCTTCTATTTTTACCCCACTGAAATGCTTCTAAAATCTTTTTGTAACGGATATCTTTCTTTGGCCTATGTAAAATTTATCGCAATAATTAAAACTTCTTTTGTCCAAAACATGTCTCTCATAATTTCTATTTTGTTTGTTAGAATTGATTAGAATTAACGTTAATGTAATTCAATAGTTCCATAGTTGCTTACTTATATATATTATGACAAGCAAGCAGTTGTGAGCACATACATACATTTATGCATATTATGTGATCAGTTCATTTTTTATTCACTATAAATTAGTACTAGAAAGAAAAAATTCTTTAACTTTCGCTTTCTTTTATTATTTAAACAGAAACAATGGAAAGTTATTATTCCTATGATATGCCTGTCATACTTAAATTTTGTGTACTTAACTTATTTGCACTGTTATTATGGGTCGATCTTTATACCCTTAGTAAAAATAAGTAAAATATTCTTATTATTTTATATTCTTATGTATTTTATTTCTGTTTGAAATTAACTTTATGTTTATTTTCTTAATTACAAGTTAAAAAGAAATTTTCAAGAGAACAAAAGAAAAGCGAAACAACATCCGTCAACAATCTATTAAAAAATTTTCATGTAATTAAAGTTTAAAATTTTTATGATAAAAACACAATGAATGAATTTAAGATAAGTGATGAAGGAATGATAAATATTTGCTTGAAAAGTTAAAAAAAATACACTAAACTATTCAACTACAGCAAATATTGAACAGGCTTACTAATTGTTGTTTTCTCTAAGATAAATATGAAATAAAAATCTTATTTTACTTGCGACAATAATAATTAATTTTCTATTGTAAGAAATCTTCTTTATTATATTTTTCTCTTTTATAAATTTTTTGCCATATTTTTATTTCTAGAATCAAAATATTTACACAATTTTCTCAGTTTGAATTTAACCTTTAAAGTTAAAGTGTCGTGAATTTTAAATAAATTTTTTTTTCTTTTTTAATTTGTAGAGTGATAACGCTGACACCGAAAAAACTCCAACAAATTTCAAAAGCGATAATAACTCAAATGACGGTGATTTAAGTGAAAACGGTGGTGCAACAAGAGAATATATATCATCACCTGGTTACGATACATCTTCAAGTACGGCACCAGCAAGTTCACCCGATCCATGTGAATATACTTATGAAGGTGCCATTGAAGATTATAAAAGTCGCATATCAAAAGCTGTAGCATCTTCATCTAAAAATTCTTTTAATAATAATATCAATAATAACAACAACAATATTACAAATACAAATAATAATAATAATAATATGAACTCGAACGCTAATATTTATCGCAATAATAAAGATTCAACAATACCTGAACGAACGTTAGAACAATATTTACCACGTCGTATGTCTGGTACTAAAATTGAAGATCGTTTGATGAATTTTGAAATTAAATCAAGCGGTGATGCTAACGAATCAATATCAACTTCAAATATATCCAAAAAAGATTTACCAAAAGTTGATATATTAAAAAGAAGAGAACTTTTTGAAAAAGAAAATAGTCCATCATCATCATCAAATGATACCCCAACGAAAGAGAGACGATTCTCTGGTGCAACAGCCGGTGCAGATATACAAAATACAAAAACAATTCGTGAACGTTTATCTTCACTAGAAAAGAAACCATCACTTGAAGAAGATAATAAAAAGAAAGTAAATCGTTTATCAGGTGATATAACTAGCATTAAAAATCGTTTACAAAATTTGGAACAAAATAATAATCAAATTGTAGATAATAATACAACATCATCAGATAAAGGAACCAGATCATTAGCAACAAATAAAATTGTTGATGTACCAGTACTATCATTAAAAGATCGTTTATCAAGTTTACAGAGTGCTGTTGCCAAAGAAGAAATTAAAAAACCAGTTATGCTTATCGATGAACATCAATTGGAAATTCTTAAGAAAGAAGATTTTGAAAAACAACAAGCTCTTAAACGAATAAGTAATATATCGTCAAATACATCATCGACAACAGGAACAACACCAAATACAATTATAACAATCAATACTACACCAGCTATAAATACTGATGATGAACAACATTCAAACAGTTCTCATGAAATTTTAAGTATACCAGATGAATCGAATGTTGATACTGATCGTGAGGATAGTGGTATACATACAACTGATGTTTCTTGTTCTGTATCCCAAACTGATGAACAAGCGGAATTAGTTAATGAAGAAAATCATCATCAACATCCAATTAATATTGATAATTTGCATCATCATCATCATCATCATGATCATGAACATCATAATAATCTTCATCAAAATAATAATGATCATCCGGAACATAATTCACATAAGCTCCATAGTATTTCTAATAATGCAACAATAATTAACGATACTGATAAAACTAAATTATCATTGGAAATTGTTGATCAAAGAAATTCAACAAATGATCAAAATATTCTTAGTAATCAAAATAAATTTAATAATGCTGTCAATAATAGTCTTGAGTCACATGAAACAACAACAGATAATGACGTGGATATAAGTGTAAGTGAATTTAATACCCCTAAATCTGAATCTCCATCTCATTCATCATCCATATCATCATCTTCTCAAACTACAATTTTTGATTCAAAAAATAATTTATTTGGTGATGGTAAAAACATAAATTTAATTAATAATCAAAATCATAATATTCTTTTAGCTAATGTAAATGGTAATAATTTGGAAGGTGTTGGTACTTCTCATAATATAGATTTAATTACAAAAAATAAAACGATAAATAGTTGTAATCAAGTTGTTGTAGATCTAACTAACAGTTGTAATGCTAGTAATAATAAGTTGTTAACAACACCCTCTAAGGTAAGTTCATATCAAAATTGTAATGTAAATTGTATCGATAGTGAAACCGGTAGATACATTATTTGTATTATAAATCCAAACAATATTGGAAATAATAATATAAATAAAACATATTTACCCAAAAATTCTCCCAACACTATAATACAGAATGATAATAATTTTGATTTACAATCGAAAAGTAAATTTGATTTAACTCCACAAAATTCTCCAATAATACTATGTGACGCTACTGATAACAAAAACATACAGCCATCATTTTCACCAAATACAAATACAGATAACGCTCAAACACCCACAATAATAACGAAAGAAGTTTCTACCTCTAATTGTAATAAGTCTCCAAATTTGGAACGTAAAGAAACAATTGAAGAAATTTCATGTAATAAAATTGATATTCATAATTTAGCACCATCGGTTAAATTAAGTACCCCATGTATTGAAGTAAGTTTAGAAGATATAGCCAAATGTGAGAAAAAAGTTTCAAATTTGGATCCTTATAATACTTATAACTTAGAACTAAAAAATCCAAGCCCTACTCCATCAGAAGCTTTTGATCAAATTATTGCTTCATGCTTAACGGATTCCTCAACTCGCTCGTCTATGATTTCCGATATTGATATTGTAAATACTAATAGTAATCTCCAACATAATCAAAAACCATCGAATTATGAACGCTGTAAATCAATTGAAGAAATACTTTGTGATAAAATTGATATTAAAAATTTACCGCCTTCAGTTCATCTAAGCACTACTTGCATTGATATAAACGAAGATGACATTAAAAAAATCGAAAAAAACCAATCTAACCTAATTGAAAATCCGATTAATAGCCCGGAGAAGCAGATTGTAAAATCCCCTGAAACAGCTTCAGATATTTTAGATCAAATTCTCTTATCTAATTTACCTGATTACAAGCCGAATCCAAAAAATGACAATAATAAAATCCAAACGAAAATATTTGAAAATAGTAAAATATCAGCTCAATCGCCAATTACAGTTGAAATACCTAATGATGGTGTACAAAAAACGTCAGAACCTTGCCCTTTCTCTCCAAATACCATGAGAAAATTATCTGGAATTGAATCGTTAATGAGCATACTAAATCAAGAAAGTGAACTTAACAAATCTTCTCCCACTTCACCGTCTACACCACTCACTCCTCAGATAAATATTTTAGATTATAAAAGCAAAAAGTCTCCATTGTCACCCACAACAAGTGGTGTAAATCCATTATCACCGATTTCACCTAGTTCTGAAACTGAAAACTTCAATTTTTCACTTACGAAACAAAGTCAACCAACTACTCCAATTGAAATTCCTAAAGCTTTAGAAATGTCACCCACATTAACTAAAAAACCACCAGTTTCCCCCACTTCACCAATAGCTATACGTCGTGGGCTTTATCAAAACACACAAAATAATAAACAGGCCGTTCCTCCATCCCCACCAAAATTCTTATATTCTTCAAAACCAATTGCTGCACCAAGGAGATGTCCCATGATTTCAGATCTGGAAGAACACGCAGGAAGCAAAACAGCATTTATTGGATCTCCACCGAAATCTCCTTGCGAAACTTCTCAAACAAATAAATCAGCAATATTTTCTATCGGTCCAATGCAACCCGGTGCATATAAAAATATTACACTTTTAAAATCTGAAGAAATACCACAAATAAGAAAAGTGTCTTTTAAAGAGCCAGACACAACAGCAAATATAACCGTTAAATCTAGCTCAGGAGCGGTAAATAAAATAAGGAAACCGGTTCAACCTGCTGTTGAAAAAACTCAAAATATTCTTACTGATTGTAGCCTTGCTGATATTGAAAATCAAATTATTATTGAAAAACCAATGCCCAGTAATACGCCAATACCGCCTCCTAGAAATGCGTCTTCTTTATATAAAATTTCTTCAGCAGCACAAAATTCTCATAATATCACTTCTCCAAATATACAAATTCCAATAAATATGGAAAAACCACTTAATATTTCTGTTAATGCAGGGGAGTCATTACAAAAAAATTCTCCAATGATTTCTCCAAAACCTAAAGTACCACCAAAACCTGACCATTTGAAAAACTCACCAATACCATTAAAAAGATCAATAAGACCAGAAAATTTAGATTTATCAACTCGTAATCAAACCTGCAATGAAAATGTTTCTTCTCCAACACAAAGTACGAATAGTGGTAATAGTACACCAAAAACACCCGGTGTACTTGTAGCTAAATTAGAAGTTGTTGAAACTACAATTAAAGTTACTTCAAATGATAATTCACCACAGTCAAGACCAATGTCACCAACTTCTATACAATCATCAACAACAACATCATCATCATCATTACCATCATCACCAATATTAAATCGTTCACCATTGTTTAATAAGAAAACCCATCCTAATTACACAAAAACAAATACAAATAATAATAGTAGTAACTCAAAACCAAAAAATATATTTGAATTTATTAAAAAAAATTTCAATAATACCAACGAAAATGAAAATGAGTCTGATTTTAATTTAGATGATAAAATTGTTGTAGATAATTCAAAATTTTACATATCATCAGATGATATTGGTGATTCGACATCTAGTTCAACTAATATCAGTTGTAGATCTCATTCTGATTTAAACAATGATAGAGATGATATTGATGATAGTAATTCTAGTAATAGTATAACAATATGCAGTAATCAATATCATCAACATCTACCATCTCAACAGCAAACTAATGAAGTAAATATTGAAATTAAAAAAATTATTAAAACTGAAAAAATTATTGAAAAAACTGATAATTTAAGTCCAGATTCGAATTTAACAGCTGAAATTAATCAAATTATTGATGAAGGTATCGCTAAATTAACATGTGATGATACAAAACTTTAAAATTTTATTTAATTACAAAATAATGAAATATTATTAATGCAGGAAATATTATTAATCTAAAATAATTCAAATATTTAAACTATTAAATTTAAAATTGTTAATAAAATCTAAATGTTGTTTCTAAAAAAAAAAACAAAACTGTTAAATTTATCATTAATATTTATAAATTATTATATTATTCTAATTATTATTATTATAAATGTTAAAAATGAAAAAAAAAAATTTTTTTTGAAAACTACTAAGTCCAATTTAAAATCTCAAATAATAAAAAGAGAAAGTTTTCATAATATGAGTGCTTATATAACGGCTCTTTGTGCCAATCTAGTACAGATTTTTCACAATCCTGACACATTAATAGATGTCATTTTATTATGAATTTTCAGAATAATAAAAAATTTTTGGACTTTTAATGATAATTTTAATTATGTACTTCATTATTAGAAGAAATTTATTAAGTTTGTATAATCAAAATTCTTATTGGAATTATTTTAGCTACAAATTATGAAGCACATTAATCAATATAACACAGATTAAGAAGTTTAAAAGGATTAAAGAGGAGTTGCCAAGAATAATTGAATTGTCGAATTAATTTTTTTCTTAATATTTAACGTCCATCTGTCTTCAACTTCTCCTGTACTATGTATGAGTGTAGAAATTTTAAAAGAAAAATTGCGATCAAAATTATTCATATATGTATGTATTTATATTGTTTTACTCGTATATACACACGTTTATAAATTCTACTTAATTTTTTTATAAAATTTTTTTGCTGTTTAAATTCGATTCTTAAAATAAAAGTAATAAAAACTAAACATAGAAAAATTATTGTCAATTGAATAAAATAAAAAACTGAATAAATTTTTAAATTTGGATTTCTTATAATATTTTTAATTGTAAATATCACATCACCTTTTCATAAATGCAGTACATAACATATATCACGATGTATGCTAACCTAATTTGTCCATAAAGAATGCTAACTTTTAAAAATATATAGCGAAATTAGTATGAATAGCACAATTAAATCATATTATGAACTGTTTTAATTTTATAGAAAACATAAAAATATATTGCATATTCATCATATTATGTTTTTGCAGTATATTGTTTTTCTCAGCTACTATTTTGCAGTATTGCGTTTATGAAAATATGAAAATCTCTATTATAAATAGACATACATATTTATAATTAAAAATATTAGTAAATTTTATAATTAAAATATTTAAATAGAAGAAAAATTATGCAATAAAAATAATCAAACGCAGTTTAAACTATTAGACCAATATTTGCTATTTGCAGTAATAAAAAATAATAAAACAATAAATATTTGTATAACAACACAAAAATAATAGAATCGAAAATTTAATACACATATTATTAACAAATATGTTATACAACAAAAAAAAAAAGAAAACAAAGTCTTAATAAATATAACAATATTATATACACTTCTTAAATTAATATACAAAATTATGAATAATTAATAAAAATATTGTTAAATGCTCAAATATTTTTAAAATTAATTTTGCTTAAATACAAAATATATAAATGTATACAAACATCTATTTACAAGAAAAAATAACAAAAATTTATATTTACAAATTTTAACATTTTTAGAAAAATGTTAATTAAAAAAACAAAACGAAAAACAAAAACGCTAATCGCATTATTATCAAATTTTCATTAAATATTTTCTTAATATATTAAAAAACGCATATTAAATTTTCATGAAGAAAAATTTCAAAATGCAAAATTTTCATTATATTTTTCTAAAATTTAAAATAAATTGACCAAAAATTTTTTCT